TGATACTCATGATACTCAAGATGATACTCATGATACTCATGATACTAATGATACTTATGATGATACTCATGATGATACTCATGATACTCAAGATGATACTCATGATACTCAAGATGATACTCATGATACTCAAGATGATACTTATGAAATTAATGATTATCATGATGATACTAATGATACTCATTATGATTCTTATGATACTCATGATGCTACTCATGATACTAATAATACTTATGATACTCATGATACTCATGATGATACTCATGATGATACTCATGATACTAATAATACTTACGCTGATACGCATTATACTTATGATAATCATGATGATACTCATGATACTCATGATGATATTCATGATACTCATGATGATACTCATTATACTCATGATACTTATGATACTTATGATACTCATGATACTCAAGATGATACTCATGATACTAATAATACTCATCATGATTCTAATGATACTCATAATACTCATGATGATACTTATGATAGTTGTGATACTCATCATGATACTCATGATGATACTTATGATACTAATGATACTTATCATGATACTCATGATTATACTCACGATACTAATGATACCCATGATGATACTCATGATACTAATGATACTCATCATGATACTCATGATACTCATTAGTATCATAAGTATCATCATGAGTATCATTAGTATCATAAGTATCATCATGAGTATTATTAGTATTATGAGTATAATCATGAGTTATCATGAGTATAATCATGATACTAATAATTTCATGATGATACTAATGATACTAATGATGATACTCATGATACTAATGATTCTCATAATGATACTCATGATAATTATGATGATACTAATGATACTCATCATAATACTCATGAAGATACTTATGAAAAAATGATACTAATGATACCCATGATGATACTCATGAAACTCAAGATGATACTCATGATACTAATGATACTCATCGTGATACTCATGATACTCATGATGATACTCATGATACTAATGATACTCATGATGATACTCATGATACTCATTATACTCATGATGATACTCATGATACTCATGATGATACTCATGATACTCATGATAATACTCATGATACTCATGATACTAATGATACTTATGATGATACTCATGATACTCAAGATAATACTCATGATACTCAAGATGATACTCATGATACTCAAGATGATACTTATGAAATTAATGATTATCATGATGATACTTATGATACTCATGATGATTCTCATCATTATGATTCTCATGATACTCATGATACTCATGATGATACTCATGATACTCATGATACTAATGATACTTATGATGATACTCATGATGATTCTCATGATACTCATGATGCTACTCATGATACTAATAATACTTATGATACTCATGATACTCATGATGATACTCATGATACTAATGATACTTATGCTGATACTCATGATACTTATGATAATCATGATGATACTCATGATACTCATGATGATATTCATGATACTCAAAATGATACTCATTATACTCATGATACTCATGATACTCATGATACTCATGATACTAATGATACTTATGATGATACTCATGATACTTATGATACTCATTATACTCAAGATGATACTCATGATACTAATAATATTCATCATGATTCTAATGATACTCATAATACTCATGATGATACTTATGATAGTTGTGATACTCATCATGATACTCATGATACTAATGATACTCATGATGATACTTATGATACTAATGATACTTATCATGATACTCATGATTATACTCACGATACTAATGATAACCATGATGATACTCATGATACTAATGATACTCATCATGATACTCATGATACTCATTAGTATCATAAGTATCATCATGAGTATCATTAGTATCATAAGTATCATCATGAGTATCATTAGTATCATAAGTATCATCATGAGTATCATTAGTATAATCATGATACTAATAATTTCATGATGATACTAATGATACTAATGATGATACTCATGATTCTCATAATGATACTCATGATACTTATGATGATACTAATGATACTCATCATAATACTCATGAAGATACTTATGAAAAAATGATACTAATGATACCCATGATGATACTCATGAAACTCAAGATGATACTCATGATACTAATGATACTCATCGTGATACTCATGATACTCATAATACTCATGATACTAATAATACTTATAATGATACTCATGATACTAATGATACTTATGATGATACTCATGATACTCATGATGATACTCATGATACTCATGATACTAATGATACTTATGATGATACTCATGATGATACTCATGATACTCAAGATGATACTCATGATACTCAAGATGATACTCATGATACTCAAGATGATACTTATGAAATTAATGATTATCATGATGATACTAATGATACTCATGATGATTCTCATGATACTCATGATACTAATGATACTTACGCTGATACTCATGATACTTATGATAATCATGATGATACTCATGATACTCATGATGATACTCATTATACTCATGATACTCATGATGATACTCATGATACTCATGATACTAATGATACATATGATGATACTCATGATACTTATGATACTCATGATGCTCATGATACTAATAATACTCATCATGATTCTAATGATACTCATAATACTCATGATGATACTTATGATAGTTGTGATACTCATCATGATACTCATGATGATACTTATGATACTAATGATACTTATCCAATATATTTTTTAATGGACAACTACATTAAACTAGATCCCCTAGGTAGGAAGCAATGGTTTGAAAAATTTGTATTAGTTGGTGTCTGTTGGTATTATGATATTTCCCTTTTTTTTATTTATTTGTTATTTACCGTACTGCTTATTTACTCCTATTTATTCATTCCTATATTTTTTATCTATGTGCAACACTTAATAATATCATAAATGGTTCACTGCCAAATATATGCATTCCTTGATTGCAATAGTACTACTTCAACTTTTTGTACTAGTTCTCAAACATTACGGTGTAAGGTGAAGACCCCTTACAAGAATAATTCTTTTGAAAGAAAACTAGTTGTTTTGCCCGGGTGGTGGGGGCATGAGAATGACTGGCTGGGTAGCCGGAGGAATTGAAATGCTCCATAGCAATGATTAAGTCACTGTTGCCAGTCCGATTCTGAGAAAAGTCAATAGCTTTTTGAGGGCTCAAAACCGGACCCAGCTGTTCCTGATCATTGGGCTTAAAATAAATGATCCTGACTGATGATGAACCAGGTTGATCTTAGTCAGTAACAAAGCTACATAGATAATCTCACTCCATTCTACAATCTCCTTCGCTCATATTTGGGTTTAAGGCGTGCCCATCTCAAAAAATTGATAATTGATAGTTGATAACATTTATGATACAGAAGAGAATACTGTAATGTGGGACTACTGTAAAAACGCAGTTTAGTACACTAAACCATGGATTATACAGGCAAAGCTCGATCGTACTTATTGCTTATTTTGACAAAGTTTCTTATTAAGACTTTCCATTCAAGTATCTGGTTGATAGGTGTGCTGCTTACAGTTTTCTCAATATTTTGTGTTTCTTATGAGCTTTATATATAGTTGAAGTACATCCAATAAATCAAATTTTTGTGTTAGGCAAGATAAAATTTGTTCACAATTATGTATTTGAGACATTTAGTTTCTATACAAAATTAACTATACAATGCTTTAATGCTCTCCTGTTTTTCTTTTGTTCACTTCCCTCCAGCAATATTGGGCTATCAACAGCACACTTTACTGTACTCACTTACAAATATCGAATCACAATAATCCAATTGCAAACACAGCTCAGACACGTGCTGCTACCTGCCGGAGTGAAGCGCAATGACTGACATATATAATAACAATAAATACCACAGTAATTGCAGTATATGTGCAATGACCTTTTCACGAGCTCTTTGGAAGCGCTTGTGTGCTTGAGTTCCATGTTTGTCCCCTGATTCTTTGCCACTTGCCAATGATTCAGTATTGCAGTTCTATTAATTGCAACTGATTAACCTTCACACAATGGGTATTGGTATTATGTCATGATTATGACATTTTCATAAAGTACAGTACAATACTGTATAAATTTCTAACATAAAGCTTTGACTTTTAGACTTTTGATACCAATGAAAAGACCAGACATCCCATTCCCATGTTAAAGTTGTTGCCAGTTTTTGATTAAAATCCTTAACAAAGTTGATGTGAGCCATTGACAGATTGTGCTGATCTAAATTACTGATTTCTGTCAAATACACAAACCTTTTTACCAATAATTCAAACTGATGGAAAACTTATTGTGACCTTAGCAACTGTTATGACCCATAAACTATGTTAGCAACAATAATAAGGTATACAATTTATTTTTAGACACTAGCACATTCTGTGAATGGCTTACTCAACTTATCTTTTTTAATAAAAAAATGGCAATAGCTGATTCATAGAAACGGGATGTCTACTTCGGTATCCAATAATCAAATAAACTTAATTGTACACACTATTGCTTTTAGGTTTTAGGCTATGATTTTTTTAGGGATGGGGTAGAGTCATATTATTGGAAAGCCCAGATTATCAAGAACCAAGAGGTTCAATTGTATTGAATATTGATTATGTCAAAACCAACTGCATAGTTCGATTTACCACCTAGATGATGTAGGTGTATTTTTTTTGTGATATCAGCTGATTATTATGTATCTATCATTTGTCAAAATACATATTTTGCTTACCTGCCCATCAGTGAAATTTATTGCGCATGCACACTATGATTAATTTTAACTGTGTGATAAATTCCCCATTAAATTGTTGGGTAGATGTTCCCAAGTTGATTGAGATGCAAATATATTGAAACTTGTATCCATAAGGTATAAAGAAGCGTGTGTTTTATGAGAATATACCTGAAAGTTCTAATATTTTAAAGCTTCAAATAAGAGCATGCCATTTCAATGGGGTACTTAACAAAAACACATTTGTTATTTACACATTTTTTTATTTTCTTTTTTTATTATGTGGCTACCACAACAATTATTGAGTACAGAAACATTAGCCTCAGATGAAGTAGTTATGCTCATGTACTATTGGTAATTTTGCTGTTGCAGCAATTGGTTGGCTTAGAAGTAATACCGAAACTTATTATTACCCAAAACGTCATGTAAAAAACTAGAACGTTTTCAATTGTGCTCTTCAAATCCCAATTTCATACAAATGTCTAAACAGTCTCCTTTAAATTTTGGGAAGACCGAGTGTTGACAATCCTATGACTAAATAATTAAAGGTAAATTTTATAAATATTTTAGGTAAATAACAAAACAACAACGTAAAATAAAATAGGAACAAAAACAATATTACTCATGGAGTTGAATAAAATTAAATCAATATCGTATAAAATACAGTCATCAACAAAACAATAGCGTATTGAATTATTCTATCTAAAGTAAAATTATTTCATGATTTTCATAGAACTTTAAAAGTATTCTTGCTTATTCAAATTATTCTCTAAAAATTTGTATTCTGGTAACTACAGTCATTACATTGCGAAGAACAATATTTTAGTTATCTCTTAAAACTGTAAAAATTATTCTTCATTTTATATCTTACCGGAAGTTGGCCCCTGCTAACCCCTATTTATTGTGAGGACTTCTCTGTATTGTTTCTAACAAAACAACAAATATTCTTTGCCCAAATACAACTGAGAATGTTATGGTTTGGCTTAAAACACGAGGCAATGGAAACACAAACACAGAGTAAAAAAATACAAAGACTCAGATATACAATGTTTGATTGTTATAACCATCCTTCAAGATGCTAGCCTACATACAGGTAAATCTAACCTAATACACAAACTACACCAAGAGTGAAGATAGATTATTTTACAACCAAAAGATTAAATTTCAAAATGGCACAGTTTAATCATTTACAATACGAATCTCACTAATTGATACTGATGTTCCATCAGGCATTTGTTTAAAATAATTTATCTTCCCCTGAGTTACTCAGTTCTAGCCCTAACACATCCGACACGATACAAGGCACAAACTTTCCAACAAGGCCTAGACTTGCCAACCCATACACATAAACCATCTCGTTCAAACACATGTTAAAAGAACATTTCATTAATGAAAGTAAGACAAAACAAGTTAGAATGTTACACAACTCTCAAGTTGTTTACATACAAATGAATGCAACTCTCATAAACATATATATTGACATTATATCGCTGACTGTTACAAGCGATTCATTTCATAACCCCAACTACTTAGGGAAAATTATGACAGTAGCTTTAAAAGAAATACCACAGTGCGAAGTTATAATACTTATAAAGTAATTTCAACAAACATTCAGGATCATAAATCGCAGGGGAGAAGCAAATATAAAAAATGTTTTTTAATATAAAATGAAACAAAATATTCATAGAATATCTGTACTTATTTACAACATCAGGACCTCGCGATCAGTTTAAAGTCTATTTTCCTACCTTACTCGTTAACAAGAATGTAAAAGACATAATTTATAAAAATGTATAGTTCAAATGCTTATGGTTAGGAGAAAATCACATAGGAACGAAATCAGTAACAGAAGTCGAACAATTGCATTCATTTAAACCATTAATTTATCCTTATAGATTAAGATAATTATAAAATCTCTTTTCAGTCTGTTTAAAATACCGAGAGTAAATTTGTGTAACGTTTATTTATATTGTACCCATCTTAATAAATATCTTTTAAAAAAAGGATTCAATAATCATTGCCTAGTAAGTTGTTACAAATGTTACACATTATACAGTGGAACCTTGATAAGAAGACCCTCGATAACAAGTCGCCCTTGATAACAAGTGTCATTTTCAAATCCCATTAAAATTATTTTACCCCTAATCACATGTTATTACAAACCTCGATAAGAAGTCAACCTTGATAACAAGTATTATTTTACAATCCCTATGAGAGTCTTGTTATCAAGGTTCTACTGTACATTGTTACAAGATAAAAATATTTTTCCCTCCTCTACTCTTAGATATTGGCACAAGTAATCATCTCCAATAAGGACAATACAATTCTATAGCGTAATTTTTTGCCAATAGAACTAAATTCTGTATCATCCATTTTAAAAACTTTAGCACAAATCCCAGGTATTTTAAACAGAATCACAAAAGTTCACACGTAAATATTAATAAACAATTAAGTAGTAGAGTTCTTCCAGTATTTACATTGCGACTCCGTTGGGATACTTGATGCTGAAGAAAGGTTTGCTGAGCATTCGGTCACAGCACTGGGGCTCTAACAGGTACCCGACGCAGAGGATCACGAGCAAGGCAATGTGGAAGGGAACACTGGCCCGGAACACCCGCCACAGCCACCCACGGGTGGACGAGCCTCGGTCCGGGTCGCTGTCCGGGTCTGACGGCATGAAGCTCATGGGTCCAGAGTCTACGTCGTCACTTCTACAACACAAGTGAATCATGTTATATCAGTTTAAGAATTGAGCTAATTTGTTTATATACTACATCATAAAATAAACATGGAGAGTGTTAAATCATGTAAACTACCTTAAATTAAATTGTACCAACAGAAAAGCCAAAATGTTGTCTTCAAATAACAATGGTTGAAAACGTACCACATTATTTTTTATAAATAAATTACATTGTTATTTATCTCAATAACTTTTTGTAATAGGGACTCACATGATGTAGAACCAAACTAGTACGGTATTCACTGTCAACTGTTTTTGCTCCAAACAAAACACTTAAATGTTTATCGAAAATACTTTCCCATCTCAATTGATAATGATAATAATGATAAATTACAATTGATTCTATTGCTTTATTTCTAGCCATAGGATTAAAAAAGTGAGAAAGGCTTAGCCTCTACACTCAAACATTTTTTGGCTATAAATCACACCATTATTAGTTGTAATGTAATTTAATAATTAGTCAATAATTTAGTTAATATCAGTAAATTGTTGATAATCAATGTATAAATGGTATCTTCTGGTAGGATTAGGCTAGAAGAAAATCTGACCAAGGCTGATAATGTGTAAAGCTACCAAAATACGACTCATACTACAAACCACAGCTGATTGCAAGGCCCTGTGTGTGGCCAATCATAGCAGAGCCATTCATTACTTGGCCACTCCCCCAACTACAATACCCGGCCACTTCCATCGCTATTTATTTATTAAGTGAACACAATTAAAATTACACTGTACAGTTACTCAGGCGCCACCCACCCTGTCCCGACCAGCCTCTATATCATTACCGTGCAATTAGAGGATCTCCTCATTAATACTTGAGATTGTAATTGATTCTTACATTGTATAGATATTTGCTTTATGCTTTCTGATTTAATTTAAATTACAGTATATTGGACTCAAGAGTTATGGGCAATTGATAGTAAATCAACATGTCAAATTAAAGTACCGGTAATTAAATTAGTTTTCATCGTTAAAGTTTTGATATAAATTAAATGTTCCCAAAAAAAGTTTTTTGCAGTTCAAAACTGGACCCAGCTGTCCTGGATCAGTCAGTAACAAAGCTACACAAGCTCTCAATCCTTTACACTCATTCTTGATTCATATCTGGAATAAAATATACAGAGTGTGTCTCTAATAATATGTTGTTTTGTTTTTAATTTAAAATATCCTAAACAATACAAAAAGTCATAAAATTCATGAGTTCCACAAACTATTAACAACAAAATCTACATTCAAAAGCCAAGAAGAGATTGTGGGTGTTTCTGAGCCGTTGATCCGTTAATGCAAAGTGGAAGCTAATCCGGGTAAGTCGTTTCACTCGGGACCGCTTAAGGTTAAGAAACCATTAGAATTAGTGAGTTAGCAGACGCTGGCAAACACAGCTTAGTTAGTCTTTTATTTGGCAAATATTGCCACATAATGTGAGGGTTGTGTACAAATCAGGCCATTCCCATGCGTAGAGCGCGACGAGACACCACTGGCGTCTTCACCCTTGCGACAATTAGTGACAATAATGTCTTACGACATTTGCGCTTATTTGTTTTTAGTTTTATTAGGTAATTAAATTTAAGCTTGGTTTTTCACTTGATCAGTACAGTTTTAGGTCAACTTAGTTTATAATCAACACTCATAAAAATGTATGTTGTCAGTTTATGTTATAATTCATAGGTAAAGATTCTTTTTCACGTTCTAGGTGATTTATTAATATTTCTTATTTTACTCTAAATTGGTTCATGCATTTTTTTGTACTTACAAATTCTACACACAAACATAAAATTTATGGATGGGAATTTAATTATTTTTTGTGTGTTAAATAAGTTTTTCACCATTCAAACAGCAAAATATTTGGGTTTTACATTGACTTTTTAAGTATGTTTTTTTCAAGACATGTAACTAGATTTCAACATAAAAAAAAATAGAAAAAAAGTTTAAAATGGCACATTAACAAAGTAAAGATTTTGTAACAAATATGTTGCATGAATACAAGAACAATTTCTTTACAACTAACTTGAGTTTTTTCAAACATTATAAATTTGGTAATCTAGATCAATGCTTCCCAACCTTTTTCCTGATGTACAATTCAACAAGATACAAATATATTGTGTAACAATTAGTCACCTAGAGGTAGTTTATATGAATATTCGGTTTATTACAATTGTTTCATTTTGCCATCCTAACCAACCCATTTTCCTACTACAAGTAGAATAAAAAAAACAAATAAATAAAATCTTTATTTCCTTACGATATTTTACTAAATGATATTGACAAGAAATCTATACTGTTACTAATAGTAACACCCCATACCCCATAATAGTTCACCCCATTAGTTGAAAATATAAATATTAATGCCATCATAATACAAGGTAAAGACAATTAAAATATAATACAACATTTCAATGAGAAGGATTGATAGAAGCCAACTAGTGAACCTCTGGTCTGTGATATATTGCGGGCTGAAGTTCCCATCATTTCCAAAGAAAGGGCGAGCTTTCCCAAGAAGTTTATATTTTTACAATTGATATATCCAAGTAAAGTTAGCCAACTGAGTACCGGGCACCAGATTTTTAACTTAACTCATACTTTTTATAAACTACTATTATTTCAAGTCAGACATACTTAGCGATGGACCTGATAACACTATTGTTGAAAAAAGGATTATTCTTTTCAAGCAGAAAGGTCAACTTAAGTTTGTTTTTAAAATCTCTAGTAAAAATAACTTAAAATGGCAATAATGATAAACATAAATCTTCAGTCTTTATTGAACTGTTCTATGTAATCATGACTGTAATCCATGATTGTGAAGACTCATCATTGTTTCCCGCATTCGTGGCAAAGTTGACAGCTTATCGCGTGATCGCGCAGATAAAGTCGTGATCATCGGTGAGAGTTAAAACAAACCCTATCTTGAGAAAATCCCAATCAAACGTAATCCAGCTCAAAGATCAAGAATATATTAGGCCTAATCCAAATATTTCTTGAGTATTAATAAGATAATTTTAAAGAGGAAACATATTGCAACTTGTCAGGCTACAAACGACTGCTATTACAGATTCTCAAAATCCCTCTACATAACTCTATGAAACACAACATGCGTTTACTGTGTATATAGGGGAGGGTGGATTTTACCAATCTGATAATACCGCAACCCTCTAGGACTAGCCGGAAGTAATGTTTAAAACAGTTCCGGGCTAGAACCTAGCCTTCTAGGTTGTAAAGGTGGTTTAAGAATTGTATCTTACTTGTGAGCCAGTGATGACGTAGAGGTGCGCAGGGAGGATGTCTGATGGTCCTCACTCAGAGCTACTTTCACTATCAGCTTCCTACAGGTGTTTTGCAGCAGCCTCAGCTCCGTCTCTGCCTCGTCTATCCTCTGCAGCACAAAGAAACATGTCAAACATGAAGCAAACACCTGTATTGTGGTGTTTTTCAGTAAAAATCATTGAATGAAGATAGAATAGCTTTAGTTAGGTCATGTTTAGTGACAAGGACTCTTAATTCCTTAGTTTGAACATGGATGGTGGATATTCACTTTTTTCTCATAGGAGTTGGCACGTTGATCTTTAGTCACTGATTAAATTAAACATCGGGAGATATAAGTGTGTAAATAAATTTACTGATACCTGAACTACTGATGTCACAAGGATCTTGTTTTACTTCAATAACAATAGGATTAGTAATCTCCCATGGAAGATCCAGGTACAACATTACAAGTGTCTGAACTTCAGAACAAAGCATGAAGAATCTTCACATTATGAGTAAAATATATCGTATAGCTTTTTAAAGATTTTCTTGGAAAATAGAAGTTCAGCTACAAAAAAAAAGTTTAAGTGATGCCTGGGGGCAAAAGTAACACTTTCTCTGTGTTAGTTCCATTATACTAATCTTGCACCTAACATAAATCAATATTTGGTTTCAAAATTGATTCCAGAATATCAAAAAGTTGGCGAAGGATGAGTCAATAAATCAAACTAAATCTAGTCAACGTTGATTGCATGTTATCAGATCCACTCACCCTAGTTATGTCCTTGATGGCTTGACTGTTGGGACTCAATACAGTGTCCAGTTGGTGAGCGAGCCGTCGCAGCGCGCTGAGTCTTCTCTCTCTCTCACTCTCCAGCTCCGAGCCTGAGTCAGAGATACCAGAGTCTGACTCTGGACAGCCTTCTGACACCAGGATCACAGGAGTGGTGGCGTTCAGGGCGCAGAGACTCTGCTGAAACAAACAATTCACACTCTGTTGAAACTAATAATCTAGAAACACTATCAAGAGTGCACATGCTCAACAGAAATCAGTAGCTTACATAAGCACACTCCATCTATGACTCTCTCTATGTAAATTTTGAATCTAAAACTGGCAACATAGCTTTGATATATGAACCGAATGTCTATAGTTCTATTCATAATCAAAGGTATCACTGAGAGACACTCCTAGAGCTGATGTATACTACTTTTTAATTTTCTGCAGAAAGATTAGGCTATAAATCTCCACTGAAAAAAATAACTAAATCTAGCAATGGGCTAAAGATTCCCAGAAGATTGGTATTGGTGCTGTCAACACTGCTACAATAGATAAGTTGACCAAGAGGTTAGTTTTAACCAAATTAAACTCTCAAATTGATGGGGGATTTTAAATAAATTCTTACCCACCCCGTGGTGTGGCTTTTATCAGATCCCTCATTACGAGTGGAGAGTGGGAGGGAGAGTTAGAAATAGCCTGCCTAACTTTTTTTTCTACACATTTTATTCCAAACGATTTTAAAATCTCAGGTAAGTGTAAACATTTACAACTGAGTAAACCTGTTCTTTAGCTAATTTAATTATATTTATTTTATTCCTTCCTATGATTCTTTTTCTAACAAATCCAAATCCTAACAGTAAGCTCACGAGCAAAGTTTGCTTGGAAACCCAGTCAATTTAGTTTCACCACTGTGCCTTAATAAATAAATACACTCATATTTCATAAGTTTTAACTATTCACAATTAAACTCTTTATTTCTAAACTGAATCTCACCTGTGAGCGGAGGTCTTGTTTCTCACTGAGCACCTTGGCAACATCAATGACTGAGGAGGCCACGTTCTGCACACCGACGCCGTCACGCAACGCAGAGTCCAGCATGCGCAGAGTCTGTTGGTCCGAGCGCAGAGCTACTGTCAACTCCGTCAGTTGAGACTCTAGTGTCTGCCACGTAGCTGACAGCTGTGATAGACTGTCTAGCTGCTCTGACACTCTGCAACAATAAACATATGTCAAGAAACTGACGTAAAAATATACTCCCTCAGGAAATTTTAAAATTATCCTTTCAAAATCTAGATTTTGACGTCTGAAGTACTTACAAGAACCATTCTTCACAGTTAATAAAATTGTAATATGCTTCAAGAAAAAATAAAAATCTAGATTGTTTTCTGCGACTTAAATAGACAATTCAATGCAATGATGATTAACGATGATATTTAAATACAAGGTGTCCAGAAAATAATGGGTAGCCTTATATTTAATGGTTTTGAGAGTCCTGTTGTTAAAAAGTGCTGTAGGTTGGTATAAATAACCCAGAAATATGATAACGTTCAACTGTGTTCTTTGATCACTATGATGTTAAAGTTGCTAAGGTTGGATGGTTTTTTATAATGTAACAAGGAATTTTAAATCACATCTTTTTGTAAAATCGTTCTTTAAAGTGTGACAGTGAGTGTAAAATATTAACAAAGACCTTTATTGAATCTACTATAAGTAAATTAGGAGTTTACAAGATAAGCTTGAAGATTTAATAATGATGACCGCCTCAGCACATCTGCAATCAATTATAACAAAGAAAAAATTAAATAAATGTTTTTTTTATTTGAAAATGGCAATGAGAAAAGTGGTTGATAATGTTAGCACATCTGGTAGGCGTAATAAATGAATATTTGGATATAAGACATAGTCAACACTTTTTAAATACTATAGTTGACTGATCGTTTGAGAACAATTGCATATAGCATAATATATTTCAAATTAAAGTACTAAAATTAACCAGTATCAGAATATTCAAACATTGTCTTAAGCCTTGATATAGAGCTCCCAATATTATTTATTATTTTCCATTTTGGTTTCAAGTTGTATCTGTTTTTGCCCAGTGTCAATCTTGAAAAGCACATTCTGGCAATAAGGCAGCATCGTATGACCCCAGAGTCCGGCCCAATAATCTGCTCCCTCAGTAAAAAGAGGGTTCTGGCCATCAAGTTGACGTTAAAAAACAATCTTCCACCCTAAGTAAAGTGTTATTGCTGTGGCCGCAGTCCACTTACTGACCACAACGCCATGTGTCATTGCACACAATGTATTCTACATCATTTGTCAAGCTTGTTGCTTTAATACAACTTTTTCATAAGGATTAAAAGAATATAAATCTCAATAACAGATTATATAAAGTAATTTAAGTTTTTGTGTGTTTTTATACAAATCATTTTAAGCAAAAATATCCAGCAAACTAGTTTAATAGCTCAATGGGTTGACAATCGTAACTAATAATTTAGAACGACTGAATTTAATGATTTTCTAAATCAATTATGAATAATTTAGACATTTTCCTGGGAGTTGAATAAGTAGCAAGAATTAATCAGATATTAAGATATCTTTTTATTTAGATTGGCTAATTTAGGCTATCGAAGTAGAAGAGAGCCAAGGCATTCATTTAGAGTCTAGAATACATAGATAAATCAAAACAATAAAATGAAATTTTTGGAAAAAAGTTACACGTCAAAAAATATTGATTTTGGTATAAACATAAAAGCTTTATGCCAAACATGTTATAACCTTTTTACCCATCCAAGATGGGTAACTGTTCACACTGTGAGATATACCACAAAGTCCCAACAATTTAAGATAGTTTATTTTGTTAGTATTCTCTTATTTTCATGTACCAATGAAATGTTTCAAGTTTTTGTAGGACAGTCCAAACGACCCTGGTATTGTGACCATCTGTTAATCTTTTGTTCAAAAGCATCATTAAATGGGAACCCCAACAACAACCACCATCTGTATCTAGAATCAAGCTATTTTGGGATTGAACCAGCAACCCTCAGATTTGAAGGTGAGCGCTATGACCACAATGCTGACTCACCTCTTGTTGGTCTCGTCCCAGACGTAGTAGAGTTCGTTGATATCCTCCTTGAGCCGCTGAGCAGCTTGTAGTCCGGCCTCACTCTGCGCAGAGTCTGTGAAGAACTTGTGAACAGCTGAGTTGACCTCCACCAGCTGAGCTTTGCGCTCTCTCAGGTTGGCTTGCTCAGTCTGCAACACAAGGATGGCGACATGAACATCTACTACAGTATCAACTATCAAACTATCACTGGTACTAGCTTTACATACTAGGAGTCTAGGTTCTAACGGGGAATTATTTTATACATTACTTCAGACTTGTCCTACAGGATTGCGTCGGTTGCCTCATTATCATATGGATAAAATGGATTGATGATTGGCGGGATTTGGACCCAGGACCTCGAGCTCCAAAGCACTTTACGAGTAGACCAGCTCGCTCCCGAAACTATCACTAGTAATAGAGTTGCATTTTGGGTTCTTGAGTAGACATTTCATCTGTATGGACCAGCTGTAGGATATTTGTTATAGAAAAATAACATAGTTGATTTGGTTAAAAAGTTTCCTAATTTGTCAGACATCTTTAATTTAAATCAGCACGTTCTGTTGGTGGCACACTTTAACTACTTCAATTTTAATTTTGATTAAGAAGCTTTTGACAACTTTTACATGCTGGTGAAATACTTCTGACAGTGACCAAAGGTATTGGACAAAGCAACTGTCTCCATGTTAAATATACTTCCAAAGGAGTTGTTAATGGTTATTAGCGTGAGACATTGCAGTGATTCTAATGTAACACACATAACTTGTTTGAAGCTTCTGTGTCAAATGTTGTCTTGTAGGTACTAATTGCTTAAGATAAAAAATCTTTAATTTTGAACATGTATCAACATAGGTCATAGATGAAAAAGTCACAAAAATAATGAAAGACCATAGTTTTAATACATAATAATTCGTTTATCATTGAAGGTCTCATAAGAGTTAACGCTGTTACAATTAGAACATTCTGGTAAGATCCAAGACTCTGGGGTGGGGGATAAGTGAGGCTGTAGGGGAGGGTGGACAACGTGACCCGAATACAACCCTCTTGCTGCCTTTAGAAAAATACGTCCCCATCCCACCTCCCTGAAGAATTTGTAATTTACATATTTTAGCCATTGATCACAAAGCCTACAGCCAGTTTTCTTATTTTCCAACAATATTGTAACTCTGAGAAAAAATACGCAGTCCATTTTAAGCAATAATTTGTAAATTAAATCAATTTGCCTTATTTAGTGAAGTAAATTTCTGCTTAAATTCAACTGCGATTTCTTGAGAACTTCAATATTGACTTATGTGGATTTTACGATATCTGTGAGCACTCCATTCTTAACAACCCAAGTTGTATCATGTTTGGGCTCTTGTCAAACTGGACTGAGGTGTTTGACAATGAAACTCACCTAAACATGTAATACCTTTTGATTGTTACAATTGGAACTGCTGACAGGTAGGCTATTTTGTAAGATCTAGTTTAGCTTGAAGTACAAAGTTCCACAAGTTAACAAATAATTTTGTAAGTTCAACTTACAACACTTGCAGAATAGCCATCTTCACAGAATGGCCATCTACTTGTAGTGAACTAATTACAAATCAGACCGATTAAACTGGTTCTGTGCTGTTGCTGTACGGTTAGTTGATTGACCTCTAGAATACAGTTTACAGTCTATTGACACATTATTGGTTCAATAATTTCATAAGTGGAAACCGGCAGTTCTTTAAAACGACTTACTCATAAGATCATAGACCAAAAATGGTTGTAACACAAATACAGAACCTTGATCGATGTCTAAACTAGTAAACTGGGGCAAGACTAGTTCTAAGAGTGTCTCATAGCAAAGCCACCATAGTCCATAGTAGTAGAAAGGTTACACAAAGAAGTCTTAATGCAGCCTTGACATCAAACACCTCATATGGGAAGTTGCAACTTAGTGAAAGTGATGCCATATTGAACAGCTGTGAAGCTAGATTTTATATCTTTTGCAACAGTAACTTCAAAAGGATATTTCCCACAAAATGTTTTTGTCAGGCAAGATAAGTTTATGAACTCAATAAATTTATCCTTGTATATTTAGCCGATAAAAATTGTAAACGTTCAATAAATACATTTTATACTTCTAAATGTCACAGTAAATCTAACAGGGTGTATTATAGAAGCTACCTCTGGTCACTTACAAAAACTAAATCCAATAATCTAAACCACCTCAAATAGAACCATCTGTGATGCAATACCTCAAAAGTAGCATAAGGCAACTTCAAGGCCAAACTGCCAAACACAAACCTTATAATTGTATCATATGGAAAATTTTACAGTGAGGATAAACAGATCTTGTAAATTGTAAATAAATAGATCTTGCAGGGCACACATCAACACAAGAACTCTTCCCCCACCACTGACGATTTGTATTTTGAACAGTCATCTCAACAATTAATTGTGTGTGGATTAATATAACCACACGAGTCTAAGGGCATGACTCTCAGTATTTGTGATAGTTTTCCTCATCCCTTCCTACACATAATCCTAATTGACACAATCTTAAACCTCTGCTGTGCACTCGTTAGGTTTTTTTTAACCAGATCGTACCTTGACTTGTACAATCTTGAGCTCCAGCTGGTCTCGGTCCTCCAGCGTGTCGCTCCTAGTGTCTGCCACTCTAGAGGTAAGGTCTGCCAGTTCTACTCTCAGAGCCACCATCTCTCTCTGTAGCGACCTCATCCTCTCCAGCTCATCCGTCCTCATCCTCAGGTTGTGCCACTGCTCCATCATGCCTGCAACACAACAACACGTTTGAAGAATACCACAAGCTTCACAGTTGTCAATAGTACAATTGACTAATTAAACGATATATATTTCAATTAGCATTGATCAATTCAATTAGCAAGATAATCAAAATACTTGTGAGGTATATACAGTAGACTTCCTCTTATACGGACTAGATCGGCAGGAAGTGGCCAGTACTGAAACAACTGTTCTCGTGGGAAAGATTTGATACCAGTGATCACATGTCTAAATACAATGCTCTCCTGAATTTAAGTTGAATATCACAGTAAAGATTCTTTTTTTATGAGTTTTTGGGGACGTCGGTTTAACTGGAAAACCCATTATTGGGACTGGCCTCGGTCCCGAGGAGTCCGGATAAGAGGGAGTCTACTGTACTGTACAAAAAACAATCTCATTTCATATTGAGTAAGATCTCATCGATAGTACACAAACAAAAGACAACTGTGATCTCTAAGATCTGGTGATTTGCACATACGAAGCTGTCAAATCTCATGCCAAAAAATGAATACCACAACAACCTGTATAAAATAAGGTGTCACCAACATTTTCAAGTAATTAGTTTTCAACACCTGATTATTGTGACAAGAATAGCAATAATTGAAATATCAACTCAGGGGAGATTTGAAAAACATACAGTTTTCCTCAAAAAATTGTGTGCATTTGTTTTTAAATTTCTAAAATTACTAGGCCTACATTTTAGATAACTGGAAATTTCCTGTTTATTCATTACGAAGTCACTTTAAAGAGACCACATTTAAATAGTTTATCAAGGAAAATTCAAGAATGTTGCATCATTTCAATGGAATTAAATAGCAGGTGCAAAAAACTGTTAATGTTTCTATTGGGTAATTTTTCGTCTACAATTTCAGTCAGTACATTTTTGTAAAAGAGTTTTATCTCAAATATAATTGAGACTATCCCCTGTATTTACAGTTCAAATTGTTATATTAGAAGAGAAATTGAATGCCAAATAGGCTGCATCCAATGCATAGTCAAATGTTATTCATGTGAAATTCTTGAAGAAGTTAATTTAAAAATGGGTTGTTTACATTTTCAAGTTTTTTTTTCACAATGCTCCCTCTATTTTTTCACATTATTATTGTACCACAGGACTTAATATCGAAAAGTTTAAGATGCCTTTAAAATTCAAAAGTACATTCTTGATTGGGAGAAATCATTTTCGTGTCTTATAAAGAACAAAAAGTGGCATATCCTGTTTGTTGACAATAGAGAAATGTAAATTGTGTTAATCACGCCTGAATATTAAAAGCCCTGATTTACACACAATACACTAAAACATCAGATATTTTAACAGGTTCAATCTAACAAAGTCAACAAGCTGCATTCAAGTTTTACATGATCCAAATTGGTACTTTGGTATTGTAGCGACCACAACAATAAATCAACTTCCAAATAAAATAAATAAAAAACATCCTAACCCAACCACCTAAAAATTAGTTTTGTTTGAGTAACTCGTATTTTGAAGTTCAAAAGAAAACTGTGGCTTTAAATTAGTTTGTGCTAAATCTCAAATCAAACATGTGTGCAAGCCTAAAACTTTCTCAGCATGATATATAAACTACAGGGATGTAAATTATCGAGGTAGTAAAATTAGAAAGCAGGTTGCAGAACTGGCAATGGTAATTAAAGAGGCATCATCATTATAAAGAAATTAAACCAGTTTTACTACCATGTCGGCTTCCCATGCTAATCATTTTTAGAGTTACTGTACGTTCAAGATGAAAACAACAGAACTGGAAGTAGGCTTACTGTTTTAGCTTTCAGTAAATATTTCATCACATCTTCACTATCATTTGTTTAAAATTTTAGTGGTGCTATAAAACAAGAATTTTCAGTGATAACATACCTAACATGTATTGCAATATTTAGCAGCCTAAAATCAGCATGACTATAAAACCGTAATTGAATAACAATTAGTAGGCTTGTAGCTCATAACGATCGATGAAATATACAACGGTGCTCATTACATTTAAGGTTCCACGTTAAACGTTTATACTGTAGTTAGAGCTATTAAACTGTTTACCGACATATTTGTGTGGTAAAAGGGTAAATTTACTACTATAAATAATTATAATAACCTTATCTACATTTTTAAGTTAATCAAACTATTAAATAGTTCTTCCTTTTGTTTATCAAATAAAAAACTAATACTGTCACAATACATGTCCAAACACTTGTACCTATTCCTTTACAGCTTATTGAACCACAGATTCTGATTCTCATGGAGTTTTAAGTATTAAAAAATATAATTTTTACAGTACAGTATAGTAAAACACGCTGTTAATATTTTCAACCTTTTTGAATCTTGGAGTATAAAAACTGAGAACTGAAGCATCTCGTTCTAATTTCATATTTCAAATATTTATATATTTTAAAAACCATTTACATGCATGAAAATTATACATAAAATGATATCTATCACAAAAAAAATATCTTTATCAAATGGAGCAGGCCCAATAGGCCTATGTAATTTTCATTTAGACAATAAACATTTACCAACACATTATTCAAGTTTATGACACAATGGTAAGGGAGGAAGTTATGCAGCCAGGTGTTAGCGCCTGTTCAACAATGGGACGAGAGTGACGTAACAGTTACGCAAGAGCGTAACATTGTCGCTACGCTCGCTACGCTGATCTCACAGTAGCGTAACGCATCGCTTAGCCACACGTCATGTTGTAGGCTATTGTCAGGACAACATTGTAGCAAGAAGATAATATTGTTTTAGTAGTAAACTGTTTATGTTATGCACCTTTCACGTGGCTTTCACATTTAATTACTATACCCAAGTAAAATACAGTTATAGTTCAAGCATTTAAGTGGGTTACACCTCTTGAGATAAAAAAATGGATATTGTTGATTCAGTAGTAGTGTCTTATAAAGTGCATTTTATGTAGGCCAACCTTGCACGTGAAATTAGTATATTGTCGAAATCCAAGCAAAGTACTGTAAGAGGGTTTATAGTTTGTAAAACATCAGTCATTAGACGATTACGAAGTGGAAACAATGTTAAAAACATTCCTGTTGTGAAAAACGTCTATAGCCCAATGACTTAATGAGGATGTACTTAACTTTGCAACGTGTAATACGAACAGTTCACCAATAATTGTTATTAAGATTTTGTGATAGTGACAGCTGACAGCGAATGTTATAGAACCTAAATAATATTTTATCATAAAGGTTCAGTGTGGTTTGGACGTTGTGTAAGCCAGTGGAAGCTCGTCTCTAAACTGAACACGGAACTCACTCAACAAGGGAGAAGTTGTTCAATGGTTTTCCTATCCTACAGAGCTCGACATAAACAGCAATAAATAAGTCAACAGAGCCGCAGAGTACCGGAAACTTAACGGGGATCTGTTTATAGAATACAGTAAACATAAACCTTTCTCAGGACTAGACATTCTAATCCTCACATAACAACTAGTTCACAGTACCGAAATACGTTAACACCAACATTAGATAAGGATTTTCTATATCATTCTAATAGCTTTTCTGAGTAAGTATTATTTATGATTAAGTGTAATTTTGTAATAAGTTTGATCGTTAAATTATCAAAAGCATAAACGCAATAAATATGTGTGTTAAATAAGGTCGTTAAAAATGGCGGAATTATTTGAGTAAAGTAGGCTCTTCAGCTATGAGACATTGCACATTTCAAGAGGTAAACATAAGTAAAGAACAATAACGAAAATACAAAATGGAATATTAATAAACTAGGTGGATTCTTAATCATACAGTACCCGGATAAGATTGCTCACGTATGCGTGCTACTCAAATCGCTTTGACTGTTGATGTCGAACTAGCAAAAATGATGTATCTGCAAGAGTAAAACTTTCGGCCGGGTAACGTTTCAAATTACCATGTTTGACTAATTGAAATGTTATTTCCACCTACTAGGAATCCTATAATGTCTACATTAGAGAAAGGTAGCAGGTAAAACATTTCGATAAATAATCTTACATTCTAAGCATTTAAGTAGGCCTATATTAATCGAAAAAAAAACAATTTAGGCGCATTCTGACGGTACACCGAATGACGAGGATTCAAAACAATAATATTATAAATTAAATTAAAAACTCAAAAGGTTTGAGAATGAAATAGAATTGTAATTTATGAATATAAAAACATTGTGAACGAAACAAATGTTACATTCTTTTCCCACACAAGATCGTCGTAGTTGCGATTTTATCACCAGGCAGCAAGTTTTTATCAACGCAAGCAAATTGTTTAGTTCCACAACACCTTGTGCTAATAGCGCGAAACTGTGCAAATAGTCGGTCGCTTATTCATTTAGTTTAGTAAACCCCTTATAAGTATAGACTAAATTGATAACATCATGTGTGGTTAAAAGACCCACAGCCTTCTAGATGTTGATAAAAAAGTGAGAACTTTACCAAACCAAGTATCCTTATTAATTATAATATAATTATAATCCTTATTAATTATAATCCTTATTATAATAACTTGTACAATCAACATCGACTAACCGGAGCCAACAGAGAAAGTTTCCATCCTACATAACATGCAAGTTGCAAGTTTCACATCAGTTGCGTGGGAGAGTAGAACAAGTTGCTCTCAAATTCTTCCAACTCAACAAACGTGTCACACTACTCGGGGAAAATACTACTAATTCTTAATAATTCATAGCATTTATATTCAAAATAGAATTTATTTTCTGGAATATTTACGTTTTAAAATTGATCTAAATAGGTTAATAAGGCTAATCCAAATAAGGCCGGGGCCACACTTGTAAAGACATTTAAAGACAAGTCTTGTACATAGTTTTCCCATAAAAAGAATCTTTGTCTCCAAACAATCAGGTGACCACTAAATTAATTATACAATCACTAATTCTAAACTTCGTTTATCATTGTTGCAAAATATCCCACAAACACCAACTACGACTCCTGGTTACTTGACAACTCAAGTAATTTCGATGTGATCTATAATGGATTTAGTTGGATGC